TTCCTTCCTTCCTTCCTTCCTTCCTTCCTTCCTTCCTTCCTTCCTTTCTTTCTTCTTTTTTGAGACCAGGTCTTGCTAAGGTTCCAAGTCTGGCCTCAAACATGAGGTCCTCCAACCTCAGCTTCCTGAATTAATAGAATTGCTGGAATTAATAATCTTGTACCACCACACTAGGTTCAAGTAAAAAATACTGAAAAAATACTGAAGTATATTGTTGTTGCCTTTTACTTGGAAGGGCTGCCTGAATTACAAAATTCCTAGGCATAGTTTCCTGACATCCCTGGTCATTTTTGGTCAGTATGAGTAAAAGGCCTGACTGGGAAATTCAAAGAGCCAGCAAGGAACTGCCATATAAGAGAACACTTGGGAACATTCACAAAAGTCACACTTCCACTCTCAAAAATCAAGAAACACACCAACGTAGCCCTGAAGTTTCTCTATGTAGTTAGAAAATATTGGGGAGGTGGTCAAGAGACTGTGATGATGATCCCCCTTCACAACGAGGAGAAGAAACATGTCTTTGGAGTCAATCAGTGTTCCATTCTTCCTCACCCAGGAATCCTTGCAGATTCCTAGATTCCAGTCCAAAGATTCCTTCATATCGAATTTCCAGTAATATTTCCCAGGGAACTCTTTGTTCCCCATACATCAAAATAGTTAGATCTATTAGAATTCAAACATGAGTCTGGATGGACATGCTCAAATCTCAAACTTCTCACATCATCAAATAGCTTGATGTTATGATTGATTACTGCATTTTTGAAGAAAATTTCCACTGTGGAAGGAAGACAATATTCCACCCAAAATCATCTTCTAATTTCTGTTAGATTAGAAGTTATACCTTTAACTCTTTTGGGAGGAGAGGTGGGTTAGAATGCATAATTGTGGCTGGAGTATATTACAAGAGTTCCAGAACACCTGCTGCAGAAACAAGAGCCCAATCACAATGGAAACATGGCTAAAAATATGGACACTGTAACAAAAAGGGTGGTCATGCCTACTTCTAGCTCACTCCTTTAATGAGCTAGAAGTGGAGGTCTGCATTGCCTTTAAGTCCAAAGAAATAACCACTTGCTTTGTTTCCTATTTAGGTTTACCATGGCAATATATATATACTGCCTCAACTTCACCAACTCATTTTATTTTTGATATTCATGAAGTATTGCTCTGTGAATTCAGTTATATTATGTTTATTCATGAATTTTAATATATTAAATTTAATGTATTTGTGTATATTATATTTAATATGATACATGTGAAACATTCAATTACTAAGGCATTTTAAGGGAAAATATTTAAATAATCTCCATCATTACTGGAACTTAAAGTGAGAACATTCTGAACTAATTTATAATTGTCTGACTTACTTAAGTGATTTTGTATCTATACCCTGAATCATATTTATTATTATACCAGCCTGCAGTTACATTTTTCTTATTTAATCATGGTAACCAGTTTACTAAATGTGATTATAGATACCAATTGACAGGCCATTTCCTTTTGTGATATTAAAGGTTAATAAAGTTAAAGATTTCCCACAGAAAATCATTACTGAAGGGTGCTATACTGTGTTCCCATCAGTGGGCTGATACTCACCATGGAAGCAGTTGAGCTATCAGTCAAATGATGGTCTGGGCAGAAAGTGCTGGCTTTATAGGATGAGGCATGTGCAGCTGCACTGACTCACTCCTGTAAGGAGGAAGAGAACATAAATCTTGTGATGTGAAAGATGTCATCACAGTTTTTAAGGAACTAAACAACCATTCCACTGAAAATATTTATTGAAACCCCTTTCTCATCAGAGTATGCCTCCATCTTCATGAGAAGAGACTGTTCCCAGGAGTCTTTCTTACTTTATTTATCTATTAACAACTCATTTCTCAGAGGTGCCAATCTCATTTCCTAACTAGGAAAAACTATCCCATGCACTTCAGTGTTTCTGATTTACAATTTAAAATCATTCAGAGTTGTATTTATGAATGTCAGCATTCAGCCCTCAACCCTCAAACACAGTGGCAAAGAGAAGCTAACTTCTGATAAAGGGAACAGGAAATCATATTCACACACCTGTGCATACTGTTGATTATTATCTACATAAAGTATTTTTTCACTTCTTTAGAAACAGCTTGATCTTTTTCATAGCTCACATGGTGCCCTAGTTTGCACTAAAGACTAAACTTACTTTGTCAATAGATCTCACAAGTTCTGCAAAGAAAACCAGAAAGGCTTAAATTTCTTAAGAAATAGGATGGAATTTTGATTTTGGAAAGTTCAGGTAAGTATCAAATATCATCACAGCAACCCTTGTTATAAATTCATTTTCATCTCTTAGGACAATTCTGGTAAAGCATAATTGAAAAAACTGAATTCTAGAAGAATTCAGCACCCAGAGGGTGAGAAAAGAGTGAGAAGGATGGACATGGGTAGCACATAGTAGATAATGTCTCTAATGAGGGCATTTCAAACCCACAAATTCAAAACAGAATTAAGGAACCATTAGCTTTTCCAAAATTTCTTCATATTGTCCAGTGGCAGGCAAAAATGGAATGTTGATGAATAAATGGTTATTTCTGGTTCTTAGGAAAGCAAGCTTCAAAACAATAACTTAAGAAGAAAACATTTCCTAGGACAGCTACTCACAAAATTCCATAAATTTTGCTTATTTGCTGTCAGAATAAAAGATAAGCTTTACCTAGATTATATCCAAAGAGGAAAGAACCCCAATCAATCACGCAGGAGATGTGAAAATTTAGGTGTGGCACTAAATAATGTGTTCAAAACTGAGAACCTCAGATTATATAAAACACTTTCACCTTCATCTCAGTGCTTACCTGCAGAAGCTCAACATAGGGTTTATGGGATATTTTCACCAGCTTCTTATGTATTTCTCTGAGGTGTGTCTTCTTTTGAACAATTTTGTCATTGCATTTTTGAGATGCTCTAAAATTCATTTGATTTATTTTTTAAGACTCTACATGTAGTCTTTCTTCCTCATGAAGAGTGGGACACAGTTACTTATACTCAGCCCTCATCAGCTCTTCCTGTAGATATATGTAGCACTGCAGGTATAGGTTGTCTAGATCACCTTTGAAGCATGATTTTATCCTCCTCCAGTTAAACCTCTCTTGGCCAGTACCTTTTATCAGTATGTTACATACACCATAAATTCATATCTGCCCATTTCTCAGAAATCACAATTTCACTTCTCTTTAATCTTGATTGTTTTTCTATTCTTTATAATGAAGGAAGGAACCAAGCCATTCTTTTTTGTGCTTTTATCCACTTTTATCTGCTTCATGAGTGTATAATATATCAGAAGAAAAAAAGTTTTGATTGATAATTTATCCTCCCACATATAAAAGCATTTATGCAAGCAATTATAATTTATAGTTGAGTCACACATCATAATATGCAATAGTCTCATCTATGGTTAGTAAATTAATTTTAAACTCAAACCTCCCTACAACACTGCTTGGTCATTCGTTTGACCAACATAGTTGAATTTTACTTTGAGAATTAGAAACCACCAGAAAAGCTATGCCTAATATCCTTACACTATGATGTTAAAGTGTCTATAGATCAATTTATAGAATGTCTGTCTCAAGCTGGGTGTTAGGAAAATAGACTTATACTTACCATCCATGGACTGATAATTCCGTTCTCTTCATTTAGATTTTTTCTGAATTAAATGGATCTTTTCCCATAATGATCTTATTTCATTTAGCAGCTTCTCCTTTGTATGTATGTATATATGTAATTATATATATGGAAAAAATTATAATATTTTCTTTTTTTTTACCATTGATGATTATGAATTTTAGAAGATTTCAGGCTGCAAAAGTACAAAATATAATCTAGCCAGGGATATTGATATATAGCTTTCAGATAGTGTGGCAATTCCATCAGAATTGGGATTTTCTGAGGCTCTCCCACACTAATTCCAAGCACTTTATCCCTTGTGTTAGTATATATGCATACTATATAGAAATATTTTGCATTTATTATTGGAGTATCCTGTAACTCTTTTCAAATGAGAACTTTCTAATGCCTTAGTGTTAAATTCAAAATTAAAGTAAGCATGCACCTTATCACGAGCCCTGTAGAAGCAAGCTCCACTAAGGCAGGTATATTTGTATACTTTATTTATTGCTTACACCTTTGGTACTTAGCTTCTTCCTTGATGCTTGGAAAATTTTGTAGCAAGCAGTAAAAAACAGGGCAATCATCATCGTGATCCTCATCTTTGTTATAATCCCTGAGTGCCCTCACTCACACTTCACAGTGCTCTTAGGGGATTCACTTACCTGGTACTCCTCAGCAGCCCCTTCTACAGAAGGATGTCCCTGAGCCCTTTGCTCCTGAGAGCTGGAGCAGAGCAAACACAGCAGGGGCTTGTTCTCTTCACTGAAGATCATCTTTGTCTCTTTGTAGATCACACACATTTTGCTAGAGCTCAGGAATTTCCTGAGAGTGGCTTTTCTGGAAGTGGACATCAAATTCTTCAGAAGAATATTGTTTTTGACATATTTCTGTTGAGATGGCTCTCTGCACACAGGGAAACAGGCAGGAGTTTGGACTTGTTCCCAGGAAAGGCAGAGAAAGGGTAAAAAAAAAGCTGTGCCACTGCCTATGGTGACTGGGTCCATAAGGTACTTCAGGCAGATGGAGCAGGTGCATTCTTTCTTGAAGGCTTGTGAGATTTCTAAGTCCATTTTCTGAGGGAAGAATATCAATAGAATTTATTCATTTATCCTTGAAGAGAAAAAGTCCTGAACAAAATTTTACTCAAGTTGTTATTGACTAGCCTATGACAAAATAGACTTCCTTTAATATATGACCAAATATAAAAATTAATAAATAGATAACTCAAATAAATTATGCATTTAAGAGAATATCTCTCTCTACCAAGCCCAAACTATTTCCAAACACTGCTTCACACTGTGAAAATATGTAAATATTTTAATCTGTTCCAGAAAACAAGGCATCATTTATAATTTTATTTTGCTAAAGATTTGGGTTCTAATTTCTACAGTGGTTGAATTTCTAGAAATAAGAGGGAAGAAATATTCCTAAATATATTTTTAGATCTACAAGTACAAAAGTACAAGTTATCTGGAAGCTAATTTCTGAGTCCTTATAAAATACATAGAACCAACTAAGGGATACAAAACTAACAAAATTAAATTAAATATCACTTTAATTCCAAACTATATTCAAGTCAAGACAGAAGAGGAATGATTTTTATACTAAGTAGAGAAACAGCATCATTTCATAGAGATAACCTAATTTGAAGATCATTTAAAATAGGAAATTTGACTTGATTTGGCTTGGTAAAGCAACTACAGTTCCACTATGAATGGTGTACTTACCTAACTAGTGGGTCCATGGTTTCACCAGTGCTTGTTGCAGAAGTGTAAGTATGAAGTCAGCTCCAGGATTACGTGCTCCAGTTGTAGAGGAGGTAGATTAAAATGTCCCTCAGCGAGATGAGTTTCAAACTCTGCTCTGGAGAAGAATGAGCTTGTCTCCAGGAGTGCCCTTTTACTGAGTGCCTGAAGACCACATCCAGTTCTTCCTTGATTGCATTTCAAGATGCTTCCAATCAGTGTTAGTGTGGGTAATTGGGTTAGTGTGGGTGATTGAATTAGTGTGGGTGGTTTGGTAATGTGGGTAATTATTTTTCAGGTACAGAATATTGATTATTGATGTATCACCTTGTCTAATCTTCATAAATAAACCTCCACAGGCTTACCAAAAATGATCAATTAAAAAAATAAAACAAAATGAATCCTCAGCTTCAGATTATATCTAATCTTTTTAATTGCGTTCTTTTATTTTTTTTTGCTTTAAAAACATATAAAGAGGGTGTCATCAATATATGATTTTTAGTAAATATTTTTGAACATTTATAAATATTTTCCCTGAGATTGAATTTAATTTTATTCTGATACTTAGAGAGGGATTTAGTTTAGAAATTTTATTTTACTCACCAGGTTTGGGGGCGCATGCCTATATTCATAGCTAGGGAAACTGAGGCAAATGGCTCAGCAGTTCAAACCCCAGCCTCAGCAATTGGTAAGGTCCTAAGCAAGTCAGTAAAACCTATCCCTAACTAAAATATGAAAAAGGACTAGGATGTGGCTCAGTGGTTAAGTGCCCCTAGATTCAATTCCTGGTATACACAGACACACACACACACACACACACACACACACACAAGAAAGAAAATAATTTTGTTTTTCTCACCTCAATCTCATTCTTTCCAGTAAGAGACCGAGGGTCCTGCCTTCCAAGTGCTTCTAAAGGAATGACACATATTCAGTGTAAACTGCAAGAGCAGATGAGGCCACACCTGCAACCCATCCTGTTTGGAACATGAAAGATGCAACCACAAAGCCTCTACAGACTCTTGATACACTGCATGGACTTTTTCTAGAACTTCCCTTATACACAGATAAGTGTCAAGGATGAATTTGCCCAGCTGTTACTAATTATGATCTTAGGATATAAAATCAAGACTTTTAATACAAGAATCCTGGGATTTAAGGGAGAGTGTTCAGGAGAAGTAGCTGCCCTGATATTTCCTGAGCTACAAAGGCATTAGGCTGCCCAGGAGGCCCTGTTTTTTGCCCCAGATTTTCAAAGTGTTAGGTGAGGAGAACTCCTCATTTTTGGGGACCTCAAACGTTCATATTTGCCAAACTTCTTCCCTAAAAGAGAAATCAAGGAGATACAAGCTCTCAGACATTGGCTTGGGTATCCATACTTTCTATCTGGAAGATGCAGTGTGGTCACAGTGATTTCTGACACCTAGGATAAAGCAATTTTATAAGGTCTATCTCAGGCAAAAAAAATTCGAGACTGCTGCTGTGCACAGGGGTTCATGCCAATAATCCCATCTACTCAAGAGGCTGAGACTACTTGGAAGGATAAAGAATTTAAGGTCAGTCTGGAACTGAGCAAGATGATCTCAAAAAAAAAAAAAAATGCTCGGCAGGGGGGCTGGTTTCAGACAATGTTAATGCTGTTAAAAAGTTATCCATGAACTTGAGTTTCACCTGGGAGCCACCAGAGCATTCACCACTTCCTGTTGAAGTGTTTGTGAGTAAAAGAGGGGAGAGACAAAAAAAACTACCAAATAATCTCAGAGTCTGTGAAGTCAAGATACTTAACCTCTGAGATATTGACTGTTTCTATCTCCTATGATTGTGGAGGCATGTTACAGGCAGGAAGTGGAAGCTACAAGCTGAATACCCAGACTTTTTGCACAGACAGCCAGGGTGGGACACTGTTAAACCTTTTGCATGTAGCCAACAGCATGAACATTTGGAACACACTTCAATCTTTATGTTTCTTCCCCATGATTTTTATTTTTAAAGTTTATATCACTATCTTAACTTTTAAAATTTGCCTTTTAATATCAAACAGAATAATAAATAGAAGACTTTACCAAACTTTAAATAACTGAAATAAATGAGTGATCTGTAGAAAAGTAATAAATCTGATCTATTTACAAAAACATTGTATAAAATGTCATTTTGTAGCCAGCATGGTAGCACACTCCTGTAATCTCAGCTACTCAGGAGACTGATGCAGTAGGATCACATGTTTTTTTATAGGCTGGGCAATTTAGCAAGGCCCTGTCTCAAACTCAAAAAATGAGTAAGGCTGAAGATGTAGCTCAATGATAGAGGATCACTAAGTTCAATTCCCAGTACCACACATACTCAAAAAGAAAATTATTTCCTTTCCCTTTCCATTCTGTGTAAGTAACCTTAAAAGTTACAAAAAAAGTCACAATTTGCAAAGACACCTTACCAACCTTTTGAAGAATTGTGCCAACTGATCTAACTGTAAAGAGTACAATGTAGCGCTGTTGATTGCTTCATGTCTGAATGGTGTTTCTTTTACTTTTTTCTTGTTTATTTTTATATATTATAATTTCCTTATAAAAATGGAACAATTCTGTGATATGTAGAATGTAAATTGGCATGCTTTCTCTCATACTAGACTTCACCTGTGTGTATTGTGTCTGAATCAATCTGGTGGGAAGTTGAGTTGGTTTTGGGATTCATTACTGATCTCATTATTTCAGTGCTGCATGGGCTGCATATTCACCTAGCATTACTTTGTTTTAAGTGTTGGACTGGCTCACCAGTTTCTCTCAATATCTGCTCCACACTCTAGTTCTCCCTACAAACTCTTCTCAGGCCCTCAGATAAACTGCTTTTACATGTTACTCATCACTTGCGAGTCTCATTGGGCAATGGCAACATGAAGGATGTAGGAACATTCCTTGTGTTTCTGATGATGCAACCATGATCTTAGGCACTTTCCATGTCCCTGAGTCTTGGGAGGGGCTCTATCAGTGATTATGTCCACCTCCACCTGTAGGTCTAGACTCATCACATATTTGTATCTACTTTAATTTCTCTCTGCTTTTTAAATGTCTTTATTTCCCCTTTTCCAAAGGCAATAATATATTTGGCTCTTTGTGGCTTAAAGTTTTTTTTAAAAAGGAGAGATAATTATCCTCCTGGTGAAACAAAATATGTCCCCCTCAATTGCAATTTTTCCTATATTTTATTCCCAGTTATTACTGACATGTATAGTTATTTTCTCATGAAGTTATTTACTATTTTAAGTTTGGAGCTTGGGATACACCTCAGTTGATAGAGTATTTATCTTGCATGCACCAGGCCCTGGGTTCAATCCCCAGCACCCCCCAAAATATATTTTAAGTTTTAATGTTATACCATAGAGTCTGAAATTTATTTAAGTAAGGTGCCATTGGTATTGTGTGTGTGTGTATGTGTGTGTGTGTGTGTGTGTGTGTGTGTGTGGTAAAAGGATCTAAAATGTATTTTCTTGGTAAATATCTAATAATCATTCCTTAGCTATATACAGTGGAAAAACTGTTTGAATATTTTTTTCATCCTATGCTTTTAAAATTTATTCATTTACATTATTGCAGTGAGAGTTTGTCCATTTTGATTGCTTCATATAATTGCTTTGCATGAGTGTACAACAATTTATCTATTCAACTGTTGGTAAGTGTCTTTGAATCCAAATTTTAGGGTATTATGAGAAATGATGAAAGGAACAGCATTGCCTATAAATTTTACCTAATAAGTATACGTAGAAACTGCTGATAATATATGCTTATCCCTACTGGAATACCTAGGCCTTAGAAAATGCTTTCAGTAAGTAAGCCAAAATTTATTTTTTCAATTAATACTTTCTCTAGCCTTGTGTAAACATTATTTATTCTACATTTTGTCAACACATATTATTCATCTTTAAATTTTTATTTATTCTTGACAAGGTCTAGTGATTCGATTTATGGTTTGAATTTGCAATAATCTAATGACTCATAAAGGTGAGTATTTTTTCATATTTCACTGACTACTGTTGGAGTCCAGCTCCAACAGGGTGTCTCAGGAGATGAATGGATGGTGAGGAGTCGGCGAAAGGGTGGTGGAGAAACAACAGACACCAAAGTGAAGGTGTTGATCCCAATCTTTACTTGTGGAATTGATCATATATACTTTTCATTTTGGCAGGCTCACAGTACTTTGTGGTTACAAAACAGGAATCATTATTCAAAGAAACAAAATATTTCATAGCTACAATTAGAATAGAAGAATGTATCTTGGCTTATGCATAAGCAAGCATTTGTACTTTCAGTTCGTGTTTTGCTTTGAGCTGTTTCTGCTTAGTTAGCTTTTAATAATAGTTAGAAATGTCCCAAACGATTGACCTATACCTTGACTATTCTTTCTTGACTTACTGACTGGAACTGGTGCCATGGTTATGGCAAGTGGTTGACTTGTTATTAATTTTAATCAAACAAGAGTAAGAGCACAACCCATTGTGCACAGGAACAAGAACAAGTTGCCCAGTACTAAGCACTAATCTGTCTTCTTAACATTAATTTTTCTTTTCTAGATTTTAATTTAATTTCTCAAAAACTTCCTTGACAGGAATACAGGGAGTTTTTCATTAGACATTAACAATTTATGCTCCACAGCTGAATCATTGCATTTAGAGCAAACAGATCTATTCTTTAGAAGTAGTTGCATTAATTGGGAAAGTAATGTTTTCTCCTTCATACTTAATGGTCATATGAGAAGTCACAACTATACTTATTAAAGGAATACAAAAACAAACCAGCCCATTCCCAGAAACATACTGCGCTGCTCCAGAGGATGGATGCCTTGCGCCATCCACCTCAGTAGGGCCTTGCCATTGCCTGAGTCAGGGGAGGGGCACAGCAGACTACATATGTGTATTCTGTTTTATGATATTACCATTCAAAAAAATTATCAAAATTTTTTTACCAGGTTCACTTTTCTTTATTTACCAAACTTTATGCATCTGTTATTCAGGGCTCTCTAGAGGAACAGAACCAACAGGGAATATATAATTATTGAAAGGAGATTATTAGATTTGCTTACAGAACCAGAAGTTGTATAATCCCACAATGCCTATCAGCAGGCTGGAGAGTGGAGAAACTAGTAGTTGCTTAGTCTAAGATACTGAAGCTTCAGAAAGAGATGGATTAATGATGTAGTCCCAGTGGGATAAAAGGCCTGGAAACAACCTGATTGTCAGTATTCAGAGTTCACTTTGGAAGAGTGAAGGAGCTAGAGTCTGATGCTCTCAGGATTTTGTAGCAGCAATCTAAAACCCCTCAAGAGGAATCAAGCTAGAGGGCACTGATGCCTCATTTTTCCAACTTTTATTCTATCCAGGATTTCAACCTATGGCTGCCCACACTTAGAGTGAATCTGTACTTCAGTTTGCTCTCCTGTATGTCAATCATTTCTAGAAACACTTCCATTGACATGCCCAGAAGCATCCTAATCTTAAGCATATTTTAATCTAAACTGGCAATTCAGATCAACCAACATAGCATCTATGATGCATGTTTATTTTATCTTTGATACATACTTGGTAAATATATTCTTTTTTGGGGGTAGTGCACTGGGAATTGAAACCAGGGATGCTTTATCACTGAGTAACATACCATGTCACTTCTATTTTTTGAGAAAGTATACCACTAAGTTGCTTAAAGTCTTGCTAAAACTCTGACCCTACTGCCTCAGCCTTCCAAGTGGCTGAGATTATAGGCATCTTCCATCATGCCTGGTTCTAACTTTTATTTTTTTGAGAAAAGATCTTGCTTTATTGCCTTGAACACCTGGAATTAAATCAACCACCTTATTTGGCTTCCAAGTAGGTGAAATTACAGGCAGAGCTTATAGTGCATGGCAATTTTCCAACTCCAGTTTTGTATGTTTACACTTTTGAAATATTATCTTTAAGCAAAAAGTCATTAATTTTAATGCAGACCAGGCTGGGGATGTGGCTCAAGTGGCACGCTCACCTGGCATGCGTGCGGCCTGGGTTCGATCCTCAGCACCACATACAAAGATGTTGTGTCCGCCAAAAAAATAAAAAAATAAAATAAGTATTAAAAAATTCTCTCTCTCTTTAAAAAAATTTTAATGCAGACCAATTAAATTTTTCCTCATTGATTATTGTTTTCATGTCTTGTCTAGGCAATTTTTCTATGAGACTACTATTTTCTCTTAAGTCAACCTGTAAAAGACTATGTATAGGTAGGGCTAAGGTTTCTTTTTGTCCACCTGTATAACCATTTTATTCAGCACTAGATTGATTGTCCTGTGATTGCCAATGCAGAGGAGAATACTAATGATTGTAAATATTCACATGTATGTTTATAATTTTAGAAAGGAAATCACACAGATGATTAAGAATGATTACTCAGAATAATGGACAGAATGGATATATAGTAATATGTTTTGAATATGTTTTTTCCTCAAAAAAAAAAAAAAACAAGTTAAAGTGTAATTTCATAGAGCAGTGGTGTTTTGACATGGGGTCTTTCAGTCATTAAAAAGGATCAGTGCATTTTTCCTGGGCCTGAACCTGAATGAAAGAGTGAATTTGGGGCCCTTGGAGAGTTATTTTTTTAATAAAGTGGGTTGTTATGAAGAATGCCATCCATGTGCTTTCACATTCTGCACTGGATGATTTCTCCTTCTGCTTCTCTGCTATGAGCAGATTCATCATGAAACTCACCAGAAACTGAGGCAGGATGACCTAGAACTTACCTGTCTTCAGAACTGTGAGGTAAATGAATCTTCTCTTTATAATTTACTCAGATGCAGGTTTTGTGTGAAAACAACAGAAAATGGATTAAGATGAGTAATTAAAGTTAGATTAAAAAAAGGAGAAAATTATGTTCTTATAACTATTGAGTCTTTATGGTCATGCTTGTTTGGGTAGAGAAAGAGACATGTTCTCTTAGGTTGAATTTTAACTTTATTAAATCATACTTTATCTATTCTTTCATTTGTGACAGTCCAGGAATAAATTAAAACCAGAAAATATATTCTATTTCATGTACCATAGGCAATTATATTCCTCAAATGAATAAATTTAAAAAAAACTAATTTTAGGAATATATGAGCTTTTAATATTATCACCATAATTAATAACAAAGTAAACAAGTTTTCACAACATTAGAAGGAATGTAAAGTTAATAAAATATAACCTGTTTGATAATACCCAAGGAAGAGGGCTTCCTTGGATTTTTAATTTTTCATATATTGGGGCATAGTCCTTATCTATGTCTGGTCAGATGTGACTACAGCAGAAAACAGCATTGACAAGGGGAGAAAAGGAACAGAAAAGAATACTGTGTATCAGTGAACTTTGAGCAACATTAATGAAGCTCACTGTTCTGCCTTCATAATCCAGGAATACTCCTATTAGGCCAATAGGCCTTGGTACATATTGAATGGCAAGTGGGGAGGTGGTAAAGAGAGTGCATTGGGAACCCTCCTTAACACATCCAAGAAGGAAGAGCCCCTCCACCTCATTTATCTTGTAATTTCTGTTATTTTTCCAATCATCATTACAGACTCCCAAAGCCCAGTTCCAAGAGTCTCCCACTTCCACCTCCCAGTAATATCTGCCAGTGGAAAAAGTGTGAGTACCCCAGGCAAGAAAGCATTCTGATGTTGGAATGATCAAGGAGGAACCTTGTGGACTGCATGCAACATTCACACTTCTCAACTCTCCATACAGGAAGATGTGGGAGTAGACTTTTTCATGACACAGAGTAATATCAACTGTAAGAAAAATATTGCAGACATGTATGTAAAAAATAAGAAGTTAAAGTTCTAAAAAAAGTCTTTCTGAGAAGAAATGATACTACTGAGAAATGTGAAATTGTAACAGCAACAATGATTTTGGTTGTAAAATCTAATAAATTATGGGCATAAATAGTAAATCTACAGAACAAACAAATTCCTTACCACAGATACAGAAATTTGTTGAAAATGTGAAAAATCAAATATTGAGTAAAATATAAAACTAATGTCTTTTAATTTAATTTTTATTTCAAAATAGCTACAGAGAGGATGCCCTGAATTCTCTGGAGGCATCAAAAATAAGTATCAGAAAAATATTCCTATTTCAAAAAAATGGTGTCATTATTTGGATGAGAGGTGAAGATTTTCTCTCTTGTAACCTTTTCTAGATAACTGGATAAAAATAACATTTATACATTTTAGAAATTATCACTTGGTGAAATTAATTCTTATTCATAGTTACTAAATATTCAAATATCTTATAAATGTTGTTGGAATCCATATTAATCCTTTCTGTTATTCCTCAAATTCAGTAATTTTAGAAAGAATAATTTAAAATTTATTTATGCAAAACTTTTCACTATCCCTAAGTTTTCTGCATGCTCTGCATTGCCCTTCATGTCTGAGATTTAACATATAGCTCTTTATATTGAGCAAACCAAAATCAATTTTATGTGTATTTTCCTTTCTTGGTGATAAAGCTGATTTCTTCTCTTAGATTTCCTATAGCTATTCAAAATTTTATGTCATTTAATTATATATACCCATGGTAAAAACAACATAAAGTTCTAGTCAAATATTTACCCCCCAAAGCTTCTCCTAACAATTCAAATTAAGCAGGATGAGGTGGCTTAAGCCTGAAATCCCAGAAGACTAGGATAAGCAGATGAAAAGTTCAAGGCCAGCTTGGGCAAATTAGTGAGACTCTGTTTAAAAAAAAAAAAAAAAAAATCTGGGGGCTGCATTACTGACTAAGTGGTGTGGTGCTTGCCTAATATGTGTGAGGCCCCAAGTTAAAATGCCAGGACCAAATTTTTTTTCAATAATGAACATACTGAACAACTGCATAAATTTGTATGTGAAATTGAATAATGAATCTTAAATCTGAGTGTAGCTCTGCTTATTAAAATTTCCAATTTTATATCATTTTTATATAATTCAGGACATATGAGCCTGGATTCTATTTAAGTAGTTTTTTTTTTTTAATCTTTCACTCGTTATACTATAAATTTGACTATAGAAACATACTCAAGAATTTGCAGTCAAATTATTTATTTCTAAAAATAAGTAAAATATTTAATGAAAGAGAAATTCCACTCATGTGGTCCTAACAACAAATAATAGATTGAGAGAATACTGACAATGGGCTTATGCTTACCTCGGAAGCTGTTGAGCCTGTCAATTAGTCCAGTGATGGGTCCTGCACTGAGTTCTGGATTCACAGGTTGGACTATATACAGCTGCATAGATTCAATCCTGCAAGAAGGAAGATGCAGTTAACATATGTACAGTCAGAAAATCATGACTCTTCTTCATAAGACACTTCATAAAAATTCTTGCAACACATAGATGTGGAAATACAGAAATTATCACTTTGTGAAATTAATTCTTATTCGCAGTTCCTAAATATTCAAATATATTGTAAATGCTGTTGGAATCCACTTTAATCCTTTCTGTTATTCCTCAAATTCTGTAAACATACTTAGTTCTCTGTTCACTTACGTATATTTAAGAGTAAAAATCTGGTGTCCATTTCCAGTCTGCACTGAAATCTCCCTATCTGCAGACACAAGCTTCTCTAAAAACTAGAACTGGCTGTTGTCTCCTTCACAGGAAGAATTTCTGAAAAATATTAGGCAGGGATATCTGCTTCCTGGAGGACCCACAGAGTTCTAAAATGCTGTGAGTTTCTTTCAACTGTCATTTAAAACTGTCAGCTTATACATACAAAATTAACAAATCTCTAGAGATTTCACACATTGGAGCACTCTATCTCTCCTGTTAGCCGCTGTTCCCTCTATTAGCTCTATGAGGTGTTTGACTTCATCACCCTTGAGAACACTTACTACTTCTCCTTTATCTACATAGGCTTTCCAGAATTGAAAACAAGGAATGGAAGGATTTTTTAAATAATTTCTCTTTTGCCACATTTTTATTGAAGCTGTTCCTAAAATCACTGAGAATAGGAAGTAAGAGAGATGTCAAGAGTAGGTGAGGGAGGAAAATAGTAGATCAATGACAATAGTGACTCAGTATTCCAATGAATCATGCACATAGTAGTCCTGACTAGTACTGTAGAAACTTAAAATAGCATCTGCTGGGAGGCAGGTAAACACTCACCTGTGCAGTGTGTCTCCAAAGACCTGTGAAAAGAAAAAGAAAAAGTCTGAGTGATTTTCACAGGATCCCTCTACCATTACATTAGTTACAGTGTGAGATTTTTGATACATCGCCAGAAGTTGCTACATCCTTGGATGCATGTCCCACTTGCTCTCTACTCAAACAAACAAACAAACAAAAAAAAAAAAAAAAAAAAAACAGTCCACTATAGAGTCCTGGCAAAGTCTGGTTCTTCAATATTCTGTGTGAGTGGAAGGGGCAGAGACTGTGGAGTCTGGGCTCTGCTACAATCAGAAATAAGATCCCAGCCATTGTGCCAAGGCCCTGTGTCTCAGGTGAACAGCCATAAAGGAGTATTAAAAAGATCTATATTCTTGAATCACCCCATCTTGTTATGTCGGTGAGTTAACCTGAATACCTGTGTTCAGCTCACTATTTTGTGAATTTCTAAAAGTCCCAATTATGTTGTTGATTTTCAGATGGGGACTATACATTAATCATTCCATACAATTTTGTCTCTTACAGATAACATAGGAGGGAATCCTAGGTTTTTGGAAATCCTTGAAGCAGTGACCTGCTAGCAAAGTAACAGCAGTTGTGGGGAAATATGTTTATAGACCCAAACTGGAAGCAACGGGGGAAGTGGATTTCAGCTGGGAAATGCAACAGCTATACATGCTTGTCCTACATCCCCATGTATCAGTAGTTACCTGGAGTAACTCCACATCTGGTCTGTGGCATATTTCCTTCACCTCTTCATATATTCCTCTTAACATCTCTGTCATATGAGCCATTCTGGTTTTACTCTCTTTGAGCTGCTCAAAAATGTCTTTGCTCTCTTTTTGCAGCCTCTCTAAATGATGCTTTTCTTCCTCATAGTAAGTTGCAGGCATCTTCCCATATTCAACTCTAATTGCTTCTCTTCTTAAATTTATATAGTTCTGCAGTAAAATTAAATTCATCAAAATATGGACCTATCCCTCTAACTCCTGTTGAAACTCCCTGATTCTAGGATATAACTTTCCTCTGTTTATATATGAATATATCACCAGTGAAATTCCACATCATATACTATCACAAGAATGGGATTCTAATCAGAATAAGTTATAATCTAAGTATGCATAATATGTCATAATACATCTAATCTCATGTATTTTAAAAGGACAAACAAAAAATAAAATAAAATAAAGAAACTCCCTGATTCTTGTTTATCTTATAACAATTATTTAAGCCTTCATCTTGTCAAACTTTCAGAATCCACAAATTTTTATTCCTTTCCTTCTTTTATAAATACTCATGGCTTCTTTCTTTCCTTTCTTCCTTCTTTTCTCTTTCTTTTAATTTTGTTAGAGAATCTCATTAAGTTGCTGAGGCTCGACTCAAACTTATAATCTTTCTGCCTTAGCCTCCCAAGCAGCTGATATTTCAGGACAGCACCACCATGTCATTTACTCTGCATCATGGTCAACAGTTTCATTCAACAAGTTACATTCACTTAATTCATGATTAAGAGTTTTATAAAACAATCCACACACAAAAATAAAGTTGTTTTATCCTTTCCAACCCATATGTGGAGAAACAACCCATTTCATACTTAAGTACTTTAGACCCCAAGGAGTGAATTGCAATCCATTCACTTTTCTTGAGTTTAAGCCAAGTCACTTAAAGCCTACATACTGTAACCTCAGAGTGCAATACTAATTTCCATGCACTTCACCCAGCTAACTGTCATACTGAAGTGTCATTTAGCATCTGATTCTATTATCTGTCTGATACCATTTCCTTCAATTCTCCTCAACAGTCATTCCAATCTATGACATCAACTTCAATGTGACTTCAGCAACCTCCCTCCCAATATACCAAGTGCAATTATTTGACATGTGCTTCTCTCTGGGTTGACACTCTATGGCTATGTTCCTCTTTGTGTCTTAATCTCAAAGTAATTTTTTAGTGAAAAATTTTGCCACCAACTACTTAAAAAATCAAACCTCATCTCCAGTCTCTGCCCTTGTACCCGCTTTCTACTTCCCTGCTGAATTATTCTAAAAAACCCCCAAGTTATCATATTCTAATATATCAAGAATTTCACTTATTTACAGGATGGCCATTTTCCTGTCTGATTTGTATCTTAACCTTTCCAATAAAAGATATTTGCAGGTTGAATTCTGCCATATTTTCTAGCTTATAATTTGTCATAGTTATCATAAAACAAATTTTAAATTAATTTTCTTTTAAATTATAACACACTCAGGATAAACATTCACAAAGAAAATGAGTTATTTAAAAATTATTCTCAAACTTGTAATCTTCTACTCAAAACACAATGCTATGTCACCCATCCTATTTCCCCTCCATAGTTTATATTATGTTGTTAAATATTAATTAGTTGGGGTAATTTCAGACTCTTCTTATATTTGAACTATTTATCCCTCTCTCTGAAAGTTTCTACCAGGAGTCAGCTCAATCTGCTTTGGAAGCTGCATTTGAATTTTCAGTGACTACCAAATGCCACTTTTTGCCTGTCACTTATATCTTCCCAGCACATGACATTGTGAGATCGCCCAGTTTTTGGTAGCTGTTGTGTAAGTACTAAGTGTACATTTACCTGTAGTAAAGCAGCGCACTTTTGATAATATCTGTATCTCAGCTAGAAATACTACCTAAGGGCCATACTGCCCTAAATAGGAACTGAGGAAATACTTTTACTATTGACCACACCCCTTTCTTGTTTAATCCTAGAGAAAACTAGGGCTTCAGTTCTATTTCCTACTTTAAACATTGCACATATGCCCCCCTAAGTTCATGTTGAAGGCAGAAGCATAGAACTAACCTCCCATGAGCCCATAATCAACATCTCCATAGTCAGGTTTCTGTAACTTTCACAATATTTTTCCCATAAACACCGCATTTTCTTCACCATATTCTCCTGTAAAATAAAATCACAAATCATAGATGTAGCAAAAAAAAATAGACCTTCACATAGGGAAAAAGCCAGAAATGAGAGATAAATTAACCCCAATGAAAATAACCAGGTCATTATGTTTTCTTTGTTCCTCTCAGATGTTTATCAAATATGGGAAGCCTGAGACTTGGAACGTGGAAGAGATTCTGAATGGGAAACAGAGAGAGTCATGCATTCCCCAAGGAAACAGACCCATATTGATTTCTTTGTTCTTACAGACATGGATCTTCAGAGGAATCACTTACCCTGTGTTCCTCAGCAGCAATTTCGATTGTCCAATGTTTGTGAGCTTCATGTTCCTGGGATTTAGAACAGAGCAAACAGAGAAAGTTCTTGTCTTCTTCACAGAAGATCTTCTTCATCTCCTTATGAGCCCCACACATGTGTTCCTCAGAGCTCAGGAATTGCCAAAGACTGGTTTTTCTGACAATGGCTGCCAGTTTCTTCATACAAATATTTGTTTTAAAGTTTCTCTTCTGTACCATCTGCTTGCATTCAGAGCAGGTAACATGATCTGGGAGGTCATGCCAGCCAAGGTAAACACAGGGCCTACAAAAGCTGTGCCCACAGGCTAAGGTGACTGGATCTACGAAGTACTTCATGCAGAGAGGGCAGGTGATTTCCTTTTGGAAGGCTTTCATGATTCTGGAATCCATGTTTCTGAGGAAGAAAAAACAGGTCACTTCTGAGCCTGCTTAGGCTAAAAGGGTCCAAGAACTATGCCTGAGGAGTAAGAACTACATTTCATTTTCTTAAAAAATGCTCATTAAAGCAAGACAAACTATATTCTATGACACAAAGGGAGAACTGATGCACAAGGAGAGCCTTCAGCTTTATATCAGCCATAATTTTGACTAGATGACTCACATCCCTTCCACACTGAGTTCCTGTTCCCACCAGAATAGAAATTTGAGTATTGGTCTTCTGAATTTAGGTATAGGAATTGGGTCATAAGAAGTCTACAATCATAACTGTCCCCATTCCTCTTTCCAATAACTGGAAAAAGAAAGTCTATTTGGGTCAAGGAAGTATGAGAAATTCACAGAAAGTTTTATAAAATATCCCTGGAGAGCCAGGCATAGAAGCCCAGCTCTTTAAAAGTAAAACAAACAAAGAAATGAAAGCCCATATGTATTACGGTTCTCTAGAGGAAGAGAACCAATAGGAAGTATAATTATAAAAAGAGATATTTTAGGTTGGCTTATGTGACCAGAAGGTGAATACTCCACAAAGGTCACGTGCAGTCTGGAGAGCTGGAAGAACCAGTAGCTGTGAAGTCCAAGAGGCTGAAGCCTCAGAAAAAGAGGGATCAATTGTTCTACCCTAGTCCAAGACTGAAACTTTCTGGATACTCCCTGGATAATCACTGGCATAGTCTGCTTTACAAGAGGAAAGAAGCAATAATCATATAGGTTCAATGCTCACATCAAGAACCAGTTCAATAAGAATCAAGCTTACATCTGCTGCTACTTCTTTGTTCTTCCAACTTTTATTCTGCCACAGTCTGGCTAGGCACAAATGCAGCAGTCTGGCTGGGCACACAATCACGAGCCACCACACAGCTTGTAGATTCAAACAGCAACTCTTTATTCCCGAACTCACACCAGCCGTCTACAATCACGTTCTGGGGAAATCCACGTTCTCTGCCCAAATCCACATTCTCTGCCCAAATCCACTCCACTGGGCTTCTTTCTCCAAAATATACTGTCTGAATCCCGTGAGAACTCAAGGGGAACTCAGGCAGCAGGATACGCCCTATTCCCAGCAGGAATAATCTTAAACCTTAAACCTGGAACCTAAACTGGGAACGCCCTAAACCCGATTATCTTAAACCAGGAACACCCTAATCCACCCTGGTCCTTGAGCAAGGTCACCTACATTCAATGTCACTGCAAAATGTCAGCAATATGGGGTACGCTGGCAAGGAAATTGTCATACCTACTTGGCTAATGGCTCCCAGCATCTCCCCCCTTCTGATTAATTAAACAACAGCAATGTGGCTTAAGGACCGAGCCTGGTAGGTTGTCCAATTCAACATATGGTTCTTACCCGTCATCGGAAAACTGACCTTTAGGCGTCAGCCTCCTGTCTTAGGTTGATACCACTGCAATTGGATCATACCCGTCACTGACTACCGGTCCAGTATATAGCCATTGGCCCCCAAATTTTAGACCATCACTAGCAGAAGGGAGGAGGATACAGAAATGCCACAACACCAAGCCAATTGACGGCTCCTTGGGAAAAATTGCATCACTGGTGACACCATCAGCAAAGATATGTCAGCACTACCACAATTAACATGGGGTGTGCTGGCAAGGAAATAAAAATTGCATCACTAGTGACACCATCAGCAAAGATATGCCAGCATTACCACAATTCGCTGCACCAAACGATAGTTACATAGTTCAGGCAAGTTTTGCAACCAGTTCAAAGCGGAGGAATCTATCAATATGTCCATTTCCTCCCAAAATCCGTTTCCTCCCAAAGTAAGTTGACTCCTTGATTGAGCATTACTTGTTGAGTTATATTCATTGATGCATCAGTTTATACAGCTTACTGTGATAGCTATCATAGAAGCTGTAGTTTGGTTTTATCTTTGTTTTCACCGACACTGGGATGAAGATAAGAATTCTGGCAATGATGCTAAAAAGACATTATCCTGAAAAGAATTATTAAATATAATGAAAAGGAAAGGTGAAAGTAAACAAACAGATCTGTTAACCTACTTTAAAAACAATCCTTAACAGCTGTTTACCTAATTTAAATTAGTAAACAAACAGATCTGTTAACCACCTTTAAAAACAATCCTTAACAGCTGTCTACCTAATTTAAATTAAACCATTTAAATCACGTGAATAAATAATAATAATAATAATAATAATAATAATTCAGATCCATTTTTTCATGAGCGCTCCTCATATAAGAAATATGGACATACGCACATACAGACATACAACACAAAACACAAGAGTGTACACAAATGTACAACACATAAGAAAATAGTAAAGGCCTTGTAGCTTTACCTAGGTGAAATCTCCATTGCAATGTTTAAAAACTTCACAGTTAAAAAATAAAACTGATCAGAAAAACATTAACCTAGGTTTGTATGAGCTCAAAAAAATAAAATAGAACCTTATGATGTGGAAAAATGCAATAATAAAATAGCTATTGAAAAAAGCATCCTGGTTAATCACTGTCACAGATGTAAGAATGGCCAAGCTGGAGTTCTGGATATCAGCTGTTATGGATTTGAGTCAAATAATCTTCTTTTCGATCTGTAGAAATTGTTTTAGTTAATCTCTCTGGAATCCAAATCGGCTGCTGTTCTCCCTGTGGAAACACACAAACAAAACCCCGACTCCAGACAATCACTGGGTCAGGACCTTTCCATTGTCCTGTTAGAATATCTTTCCAAAGTACCTTAGGCTTATGTACATTTTTTGGATACATATGCCTTTCCACAGCACTAAGTCCTGATGAATCTAAATTTTAAAAAGTTTAGGGTAAAACGGGTTATTTTAAGTTTGTCTTTGGGGGATATATACTCCTTAAAGATCCTTTTAAATTTAAATCTTTTAAAAGCATTCTGCCTTAGTTTTTAGAATTATTTTAGTCTTTTTAATTTTTTGATGTGGTTTTAAACCAATTTCCTTCTAGTTTAACCTTTTCTAAATTGGCTTTTGTCTATAAATTTTAACACCCTCATCTGAGACTTCTAATATCTGCACCACCAGAAATTAAAGTTGATGGGCTTTTTGAAAAATTACTAATAATCTCCTTGTTTTTCTATTTTATCCAATATTTGACTTTAAACTTCTCTCTTCTACCTTTTTCTATCTTGAATGTCTGTATCTAATAGTTGTCTTAGCCTTTTGCATTTTCTATCTGAAACACCTTACTTGACATTTTCAACCATTTTTTATCTTATTTCTATCTTCTAGTTTTTTTTTTTTTTTTCCCCCCTGTTGTGTTTATATTTTCCCTTTTTTTTTTTTTTTTTTTGTTTCCTATTTTGTGGGTTTAAAATTATTGTCTTCCTACATCTTTTCTATCTTCCTAATTATTTTTTATCTTTTTTTTAACTTTCTATACTTCTGTCTTTAAAGTTTTCCACTTCAAATTGTTAATCTATCTTTCTACATCTTCTCTCTTTTTTTTACCTTTCTGTACTTCTGTCTTTAACGTTTTTCACTTTAAATTTTTAATCTTCTTTATCTAAATATCTTTTATCCTATTATCTTCCCATTTTTTTAAGTAATGTCTTTAGGATTAACTAGGCTTCGAATGACGCAATAAAGCAATCTTTTTTCCGCCATGAAGGTATCTCTACCACCTTCAATTTAACCTTTTAAAGCCTTTTAATTATCATCTATACTGTACTTTTAAATGTACTTTTTCACCACCTACAACTTCACTCTTTTAAACGAGGCTTAGATTCTGTTTAAATCGCTTTAATGTTAGTTTACATGGCTGCCCTTCAACCAAAGGCTTTTTTTTTTTTTAACTCCATTGAGAAGCTTTGTCTCAATCTGCCATGTACAAATATATTTTTCTTCTTTCTTCCTTTCTCAAGCTTTTAAAGTAAGTCTAGTTTCCTCAAAATCTTTTTAAATGGCATTTTACACCTTTTTACTTTACCACACACAGATTTTCTCATCTAGAAACATTTCTTTTTCCTTTAACCTTTTATATTAAAATATATTTCCACATCTTGAATCTTTTTCTATCTCTTTTTTAGCCATTAACCCTTTTTATAAATTCACATTTTGAAACAACCCTTATAAAATTTCTGATTTAGAAAAATTACTCCACTTTAATAAGATGAAAGACTTTCATGTTTTTTATGATACTATAATACTATAATTGAAACCCAACTGAAAATTTTTCTACTCTTTGTATATAAATTACACATGATAGAATCTTAACACTTAGTAACCTTGTTTTAACAAAGACACAGACCAAAGCAATATTAAACCTTTTTTCCATTCACCAACTTATGAAAACACACATAATGTTTAAATATATTACCTTATGGAACTTAATAAGTAAAGAGTACTTGATTTCATATTTAGTGGTTGATATTTTAACACTTTAGCCTTGTAAATTAATCAAATGTCTGTAAAAACCAAGATCTTAGACAAGTGTAGTAAACAGAACTAGCCATCTCTTTCTTGTTGAAGAAAAATCCTTCTACAGGATACCATGATGGTCTCATTAATATACTTAATAACTCGTCTTTAAAAAGCCATGGGCTACATTTTTGAATTGTATCAACATATGCCCAAATTGTTCTTGGTCTCATTGGGGTGCCTCCTTCCTCTAACAATTTCTCTTGCTCGGAGGCGAACAACTTCAAACCTTGAGTCAACCATTTTCCCCAGTTTGCCAGAGAAATTTCTAGGAACAGGCAACTTGAAATAAAAACAATAAATCAAAACAAGAACACATTGTTTTTTGAATTGGTCACCCATTCTTTCGCTCTTCCTCAGGGGCGAGCAATTTCACTTACCTCCAAGCTTCAGAAGTTCCCCGCACGGGACGCCAAATGCCTCAGTCTGGCTGGGCACAAATGCTGCAGTCTGGCTGGGCACACAATCACGAGCCACCACACAGCTTGTAGAGTCAAACAGCAACTCTTTATTCCCGAACTCACCCC